CACCGTGCTAATTGGTGGGGTATATGTTTACATTGCTTGTTAGCTATTATTAGTCTCATAGCACTAGTGTAGAAATAAAGAAACAAACTTCAGCCACTAAACACGTCTTGGCTGATTGACCATTTGGAGCAGGGGGCGATTAGATCAGTCTCATTTTTTACTGGCGTCACTTTAAAGACAGGTCAGCAAGACATTTGGTTTTAAAATGGTGGGAATGAGAAAAGCACTCTGGGTGTGTCTGCGGTCTCACCAACCCTGAGAACCCAACAGCAGCGCAGCAGCTGCACAGAGAGAGAGAGAGAGCAAGGGAGCGAGAGAGAGAGAGAGTGTGTGTGTGAGAGAGAGAGAGAGAGCAAAAAGTGACAAAGTTTGAACAGAAAGGAACAAAAGCTTTGAGAATTGGTGAAGAGAGAAATTAGTTTTCCAGGAAAAGAAGACACAAGGAACAGATGAAGACAGAGCATCTGAGAGGAGAAAGAAACAGAGAGAGAGCGAAAGAAAGATGAGGAAGGAGCAATTGAGACAAGGAGAGAGAGGCAGAGAGAGAGAATTGAGGGGCACATAAAGAAACAACATATATATAAGAGAGAGAGACAGAGAGAGAGAGAGGCAGAGAGAGAGAGAGAAATGAAGAAAGAGCATATGAGAGAAGAAAAGAGAAACAGAGAGAGAGAAGACGTGCAAGAGAGAGAAGGAGAAAAAAAGTGTAACGCCGTCTCCTCCAGGGCTGTCTGAATAGCATCCAAAAACTTTTCTTGGTTTGAATAGTTGGAGAAGTTCAGCTAAAGAGTGTTTTACTTGGAAATGGACAGCACAGGAAGAGGAGAGGAATAGAGAGAAGACAAAATCAGAAAGAAAAAGGAGCCTCGCTGAGAGGAAATCATGGAGAGAGAGGGTGGTTAGTGAGGACAGCTTTATTGTAAGTGGCATATTGAAATCTATCTGAGTGACCTCACACTGACAGTGAACAGAAGCGCCTTAATCTCTCAGACATTTCTTCATAAAAACTCTTCTATAGCTTCACTGTGCTGACAGTTTAAGCAACTATTTCTGAGGCTCTGCAGTGGATGCTGGTCAGCTTCCTTGAGTGCCATTCCAGCCTGAGAGTGCAGATGAGAGTGTAGATCAGGTTTCTGCAAGTTGAGCTCAGACTGACCACCCTGGTCATACAAGGAGAAATAAACGCTACAAAAAGCATGACCACAAACACAGCAAAGTTTGCTCAATGAACATAATCAATAACAACCAATGGTCAGTCCTGTACACATCACTCACAGCTTCACGCAACTAAAGTGATCACTTCACAGGCTAGTTTGGTCAGTCTTCGCTTGATTTAGTTTGATTGGTTCTTTTTTGGTCATGCAGTTATGTGGTGAAACATTTACACTAAAGCACTGCAAATAAAAGCCTCACATACACTGAGATTACACGTTCTACAAAAGATGCGGCATGAACAGACTACAATACACATGGATGAAAACAAAAGAACTATAAATAGTCGCTATGTTATACAGTCCTATGCAAAAGCTTAAGCACCCCAGTCAAATGATGTTTGATTGTTGTAGATTTACTAAGTGACAATAAGAACACATCCTCTATAGAGAACACACTACTGTACATTTTAACACACAACTACTGTTTATTTAACATAATGGAAAAAAGCCCATAAAATGTGACCTGTGAGAAAGTTATGGCTTATTTAATATGTTATGCTTTATGTTTTTTTGATGTTAAGCTCAGCAAATAAATAGAAACTGCACATTAAAAATAACAGAAAAGTGCCATATTTAAGTTTTGCAACTATTGCATATACCTGTACTCACCCAGCTTTTCAGCTGTGGTCCAACTTATACTTACCATAACCTCTGCACTTTATGTTTAGTGTGTTGTGTCTGCCACCATCATGATGCACTTTTGTTTGGACTAGAACGACAACAACAGAGTTCTGATTGATTGCACAGATGTGATTTTAAATACAGCTGTGCAACACAGAACATTGAGATGGCCAGTGTTGCAGTCTGTCAGTTTCAGACTCAGTTTAAAGGATAGTGGTCATTTTCAAAGCTTGATGTGTTTTTGTTTTCTCATAAAAATAGGACTTGGTGTGAAAAGGCCTTTGTTTGCTGATTGGTCAGTCAGTCCCATTTCATCTGCTCAGGACATTTTTCATTCATTTGCTGATTGTCCAATTCCAATCCACTTACTCAGAACATGGTGTGTACTTTGCTGGTCACTCCAGTACATAATGGACGTGTCCAGTAAATACTGAACTTGAGGTGAAGTTACTCTTTGGTGCTTGTAGAAGATCCAGCACTAGAAAATGATTTCATGCTCCATGTGTTTGTGATGCTGTTCATGTAATTGTGGTCAAAGAACAGCGTGATAACTGAGCGAACTTACAGCAGTGTAGATCACAGGTCATAACAGAAGTGACCAGGCTGATTTTGAGCTATGCTAGGTAGGATAGCATATTATTTGAACTGAAATAGTATAATAAAAACTTTGTTTTTTTGTATTTTTTTATTTTAAATGTTCTAAAGTAAAGCAATAAGTACTAAAATTCCGACTGAACTCTGTAAGTGTGAAAAAAAATCCTGCAGATTTTTTTTTTGAAAAATTAAAATTAAATCCTGAAAAAATTGAAAGCTGTAGTAAAGGCAAAAGAATGGACATACTGAATATTAATTCCATGTCATATGTAGTTGTTGGAGCTTCTGTGTTACATTCATGCTTTTTTCTGATGCTAAAAAGTTAATAACTTGCACTTAGTGGTCATTTTGACTGTCAATTGAGAGTGTGGTCACTTACTTTTGTCCAGTGCTGTATTATTTTTTATTACAGCACTATTCTTGTTATTGTTATTATGATTATTATTATTATTATTATCTGAAAACTCAGTTACACACTCTGGTCTAACATTAAGTCTGTAGATGGACAGTCACACTGTGTGATTACATGCCTCTTTGGGAATGGCAGTATTTTTGGGAATGCTGTGTGCTGCTCTGTGATGTGGGAATGACAAGCTGAGAGAGAGAGAGAGAGAGAGAGAGAGAGTTCATGTGAGTGTATGTGTGTGAGGCGATGAGGGCCTGGAGACACATGGCTGATTTGTGTGACATGAAGCAGGCTTGGGGCCACTCAGAGGTCAGTGAAGTCAGGTAAGGTCATGGTCAGCTCCAGGACTGGACCAATCACAAATCATCCTGAAATCTGGAAACTCATTACTGGAGTCTTTCAATGTTTTGTTGAAAGATGCAGCCTGTTAGTGTGTGTTCTTCACACAGACACACACACACGCTTCTGTGTGGTTCTTCTGTTCTGCCCTTTCTCAGAAACTGTGTCCAGTTGGTCACTGTTGTGCAAGCATGATTTCTCAACAAGTCATTAAGAATTTACTGGACATATTATTCATGAGTGTGTTTGGACCATATTAGGTAATGCTCTGTCTAGTTTTAGCTTGCACTCAATAAACAACTGCTAAAAATGTTTTTAAAGAAACTCAGTACTTTTTTAATAACTGCTTTGTGGGTAACACTCTAAATTAAGGGCTAGTTAATTAGTAATTATGTTGTTAATAAGTCACTGATTATTATATGTGGCTATTACTATTGTGAGTAGTAATTGAGTACTATGTTAACTAATAGCTTAGTTTGTTTTTAGTTCATAGGTTTTTTTTAAATGATTTACTATGTACTACCTCCTGCCCATCACACTGCGAATGAACTGATGTGTGATTACTTTCTTAAAAAAATAACATGAAAACCTACACTTTTAAAAAATGGTGCTTAATGAAGAAAATGGTTCTATACAGAACCATGAACACTCAATGAACCCTTTGCATCAATATATGGTTCTTCCGATTGATGGAGAATGCGCTGTAGATGGTTCTACATAGAATCATTTTGAAAAAGGTTCTATGTAGCACCAAAAAACGTTCTTCTATTGTTATGATGTCAAGCCTGTAACAATACAAGAACCCTTTTGGGTGCTATATAAAAATCCTCTTCAAAAAGGTCCTATATAGAACCATCTACAGCACATTCATGCATATTTTCCAACAATTTGAAGAACGCTTTCATGATGCAAAGGGTTCTTTAAGTGTTCATGGTTCTATATAGAACCATTTTCTTCTCTACAGAACCCTTGAAGCATCTTTTTTGAGAGTGTACCTAAACATATGTGTGAATCCTGCTACTTTTCTGTTCATTAATCTACTGATTTATTGTTACATTGGCCACACATTATTAACACATGGGAACAAGATCCAAATGCGTGGCCACCATTTAGTAAGGTGTGAAAATGAGATCATGCCTTACTAAGTCGTGGCCATGCATTAGGATCTCATTTCCACTCCTTACTAAGTTGTGGCCACCCATTAGGATTTCATTCCCATGCCTTACTAAGTCGTGGCCACGACTTAATTATCTCGTTCCCACACCTTACTAAGTTGTGGCCACGCATTATTTTTATTTGTACAGGATGTCACCAGTGGGTCTGCATACTTATCAGTTCATTCATAGTGTAATAAGCAGCTGTTAAAACATCATTTCTGAGCAAATACTCCACAAACCCATGACAAACTAAACTATCAGTTGACAGTGTACTTTACTGCTAATTACTAAATACGTAATCATTTACTGAATAATAACTAATGCTCACTGAGCAGTAATCAATAACGGGCAATCAAGGACGACATAATTAATATATGGAGTGTTTCTGATTACTGTTATGGGGAGTATAACTATAGCAGTCTGAAGTACAGCTCCAGTCAACCCTTCTGAATGGTCAGTAGTGTGCCTTTCTCAGAACTGATCAGACATCTATCAATAATTCACCTTTTGTTTGGTCTTCTCTCGGTAGTTCGCTGATTGGTCAGCCTATTATCTCCTCTTCTCTGATTGGTCAGGCCTCTCACGCTACTTCTCTGATTGGTCAGTTTTCCTTCGCTAGTTCACTGAGAAACCCATAGGCTGGCGCTGGCTCCGCCCCCCGCTCTCTCTCTTGAGCTCCGTTAGGTCTCGTGCGTTAGCGCTCACTCACAAACTCCTGAGCAAACCTCAAACTGCAGTGGACACTAGAAACTACAGAGAACCTACAAGCTACAGAAAACACTCCACACTCCAGCGCGCGCGGTTTTACTGCGGGACCCCTCGCGACTCCCGCCTCTGTCTGCCCGGTAAGATAAACAGAAAAAAACATCTGGAATGAAAGTGCTGTATAACTCAGACTGGACTTTCCAGTGAATTAGCCGTTAAAGCTGCGTTTTCATTACGGTACAGGCTGCGTGTAGAAGCTGCTTAGAGGTCAGTGACTGCAGTTTGTGCAGGCTGTGAGGGAGACAGACTGAGCGCTGTGTGGAGGTCAGTACTGAGCAGAACTTACTCAAACACTCTCTCTCGTGCGCGCCTTGACTTCATGCGTTATACTGAGTCTGCACATATAGAGGGCACATTATAATTATTGTCATATATGGTTTTATTTATGTAAGTATTTATTTTTGTGCAAGTGGACATGGCATAGCTATGACGTGTGTATGGGTATATGGGTGTATATATAATGTGTGTATTTATTTACTGTGTTCGTATGTATTTAATGTGTACAGTTATTTATAATTATACACACTTAAAAAGATGGTTCTCCAGGGGTTCTTTAGTAAAGTGGTCTAAGATAGAACCATGAACACTGACAGAACCCTTTGCAGGATTAAAGGGTTCTTTGCGTTGTTAAATGGTTCTTCAGATTGATGGTGAATGTGTTTTATATGGTTCTATATAGAATCTTTTTGAAAAGGGTTCAATATAGCACCAAAAAGGGTTCTTCTATTGTTACAGGCTTGACATCTTAACAATTCAAGAACCATTTTTGGTGTTATATAAAACCATTTTCAAAAAGGCTCTATATAGAACTGTCTATAGCATATTCTCCATCAATCTGAAGAACCATTTACTGATGAATAGAACCGTTTAATCATGCAAAGGATTCTGTCAGTTTTCATGGTTCTATATAGAGCTATTTTCTTTACTAAAGAACCTTTAAGGACCCATTATTTCTAAGAGTGTAGTAACAACAACAACAACAGAATATTAATAATAGTAATAATAATGATAATAATATTTTATTGTTGGTGTTACAATTATAAATACATCATAGATATACTCATTGATATACATTGTGATGCATGTATAATTATTACAGTGGCAAAACAACAACAACAACAACAACAATAACAACAACAACAATAATAATATTTAAAAGTGCCCTTCAAGACGCTGTACAATAAGCACACAATTTGACATTAAAAGACCAACAAAATAATAAAATCATTAGAATAACAATTCTTATTATTGTTATTATTGGTCATATTGTTAAGGTTGTATATAATTCTATACATATACATGATGTATACAATACATCACAGATATATTTTGAGTGTAAATGTATATATCTGTGATGTATTTATAATTATAACAGCAATACTACTAATAATAACAAGAGTACTAATGATTCAGTTAGTGACTTCTTTTATGATCCGCTACTCTACACTGCCTGGTTTAATCCATTTGTACTGTAGAAGTTTATCTGACACTTGCAGTGTTTTGTGTTATTTCAGAAATGCTTGTGTTCCAGTGGTTGAAGCTACATTATGCACTTACACTGTACAGCCTGTCTCTGTCAAATACACCTGTGTGTGTATTTTCACTGAGCTGGTTCTTTACAACTCAACAAGTCCAGTTATCAATCCCTCAACCACATCTGGATCTAGCAAAGTTTAATTGTGACTACACTGAATTTGTTTGGTTGTATTCTCCACACTGATAATAATAAATTCCATTTATAATGCTCTTTCCTTAAACATGAAACGCCACAGGTCAATGATTTAAACCACATAGAATAAAATATGGGACAAAATACCAAATGTCCATTGACATTAATAAAAAATCTATGTTAATCATGAAAGTTAAACTAATGAATGCAGTTGTCTGGAATCAAGACTAAATGGATCTATTGTATGTACTGAACCTTTAGCTGCTTAGGTTTATTCTGCATGACCAAAAGTGATGATTTGTGGCAGATGAGCAGCTTTGGGGTTTTACACGCTTCAGCAGCTCACAAAATGTATGCAGGGAACTTTAGTAGATTCGACTTCATCACCTGTCTCCATCACTCAATCACCAGACCAGTGTACAGTGACCAATGCAGCCCATTCCATCGGCATTCGCTCATCAGCACAAATTTCTGGAAAAATCTTCACCCCTTAAACCAGCAGTGCAACAAGCAGAAAAGCTGATAAACTGCGTTACTCTTCTATTGTTGTTCCTTTTATTTGATATAAATCTCTATGGATGTGAAAAGAGGAACAATACAAATATGCATAGTCTGTTTTAGAAGTGATCAAAAGACAACAAATGCTGCATAATGCTGGGTAAAGAGTAAGGAGTCGGAAATTGAGAATGATATATATGAGAGTGTGTAAATGAGAGTGTTTCCTGTACCACTGGGAGATGAAAATATTTGAAAATCTCCTAACATCTGCATGTCATTGCTGCTGATGTTATAAAACAGTTGCTTTGAAGTCAGTGGCACAACCAATCCAGAGTCATTAGAGTAACCAATCTGGACTCGATGGCATAATTCATCTAAAGCTATTGTTGTAAACAATCTAAAGTAATTGACAGAATCAATCTAGAGTCAATGGTGTAACTTTGAAGCTGCATCTGTTTCCTTTATTCTCCAGCTGTTCATCCACACACATCCTCATTGTCAACTTAAATTAGTTACTCACTTCTGTCTCTTGTTCTCTTGTTCTCTCTCTCTCTCTCTCTCTCTCACACACACACACACACACACACACACACATTGCTTCTGTCCTTCTATTATGCATTTCTTTGCATGACCTTACAAATCGTAAGCATGCCTGGTCATCACTCATTCAAAATGAAAGAGTTCACAAAAAGAGAGAGACATCAGAATGATACCAGAAATATAATATAAAAATATTATAAATCATATACTAATTTGTATTTCTTTCTCTGAAGCATGCTTTCATCACTTCTAAAATGTACCAAGCATGTGCATGTGTATATAAAAGAGAAAGAAGGAAGTAAAAATCTTATTACATTCATAGAGATAACTGAAAAATTTAAATATAAGAAGAAAATATTTCTGATAAGTAGCTTTTGTAACTTAAATCTAATCAAAATTGTAAAAATTAACTGGATTTTAGCATTTTTTTTGCCATTTGGAAAAACAGCTAAATGTAAAAAAAAAAAAAATTGCAAACTGCATGTATAACTTACTTATGTAGAAGCGTTATATGCATAATCCAGTAAATTCAGAAGAACACTATTTTTCAGGGGTTGAAAAATCTTTGTGGCATATCTCTGATGATATATTTGTACTGGCCTCACAAAGGTCTCTTGCTCTCTTTCCCTTTCTGCTCACTCTTCTCTGAAAGGACTTAATGTGTCATTAAGAAATAACTGAATGGGTTTTCTAGATCGAGACATTTTAATAGGAAGCAGGCAGATGCACACACACACACACACACACACACACACACACACACACACACACACACACACACACACTCACACACACGCTGGGCTGTGCCACGTTGCATGATGGTGTATTTAACTATGGCAGGAAGCCACCCACAAACCCACTGCAGCCTTATGGAGCAACATAGCAACACTGACACTGTAACACACCACTGGCATTGCCCTGCAACACAACACTGGCAAAACTGACACATTAACACAACACTGGCACCACAACACTAGCACTGCAACACAACACTGGCTCTGTAACACAACACTGTCACTACAACACAATACTGGCACTTCAACATAACACTGGCACTGCAACACAACACTGGCAGATTAACACAAAACTGACACATTAACACAACACTGGCATTAAAACACAACACTAGCACTGCAACACAACAATGGCAGATTAACACAAAATTCACACATTAACACAAGATTGTAACTACAGCACAATACTGGCACTCCAACACAACACTGTTACTACAGCACAATACTGGCACTCCAACACAACACTGTTACTACAGCACAATACTGGCACTCCAACACAACACTGTTACTACAGCACAATACTGGCACTGCAATGCAACACTGGCACTGCAACACAATCCTAGCAATGTATAACAACAATGGCACTATAAAACACTATCACTACAGCACAATCCTGGCACTGCAATGCAAAATTTGCACTGTAACACAACACTGACACTGTAACATAACATTGGCACTGCAACACAGAAGTGGCATTGTACCACAGCACTGGCACTGCAGCACACAGTGGCTATGCCTTCAGTTCAGGCTATAAATGCCAAAAACAACACCTCTATGATTATGCTAATTTCTGCTAGTGCCTTATGGAATTGCAGTTGCAGTCAGTGATGTATCTAAGACTTCCAGAATGTATGTTTTTGTAGAGTGATGTTTTTTTCCTCACAAAATTAATGCCACCCATTGGAACTCAAAATGTGATTGGTTGAATTCACTTTCAGTTCCTGTTACTGGTTATTCTAACACATTAAGCTAGATATGGCACCAATCCAGTATAGGTACTGGGTCGATATTGGCATAAAATGCTGGATCAGATATTGGTGGGAATAAAGGAATGAATCTGATCCAATAGTATCATGAATCTACACTGATTTTTTTTAGAAAACAAACAATGTGCCCAATAATTAGCCCTTAACATATCCCAGTTTTCTTTTTAACGATGTCCTGTGGTTGCTTTTGGTTGTTTTTGACCAAAAACATATATATTTTAAACCATACAGTTTTTAATCAACCATGGTTTTAATTCATATTTTATGTTATGTCTTTCCGTCCCCACAAACAGACTTATGGGAAATGCCGTCCATTTAGAGGCAGCATCTTTCATGCTTCTTTACTGTAGCAGACTGAGCCAGCTCCACTTTTCTTAAGTTCAGGCCCTTAAAGTATGTTTAAAAGTAAGGTAAACCAAGCAGGCTACCTGTGATAATGTGATTAAGCTTGTAATCTACAGTAGGCTGTAGCTCTCCCCTCAATTAAAACGACTAGTACTGTGGCCTAATTTGTTGGTGATAGCTAGCTACCTAGTTTAGTAGGTCTAGCAGATGTATTTACTTTGTTTAGTCCCCCAAAAAACGCCAGCGTAAAAAATAAATAAATAAAAATGACCATGACACTATAACACAACTCATACACAACAGTACAGCACTGACACTGAAACACATATTTGACACTGTGACAGAACACTGTAACACTACAATGATACTGTAACATAATCTTGACACTGCAACACAACTTTATCACTGCAATACTGCAACACAACACTGATACTGTAACACAACCATGACACCGTAACACAGCTTTGGCATGACAATACAACATGGCACTGTAACACAACAATGGCACTATAACATAGCACTGGCCCTGTAACAAAAACACACTTTTTCCTTAATGATGGCAGTTACAAAGGTGGTCCAATAGAATCTCTCTCTGTCTCTGTTTCTCTCTTTCTACTTCTGCTTCTACTTCACATGTTGTTCCCATTATTCTCTCTTGCCCTTTCCGTGCCTGAAGGGGGGAAATGTTTTTGTTGTTTTTGTTTGCAGATGTGTTTACGGATACACACTGCAGGTATGTTTAAACCCAGCATGTAGAGAAGCTCCCCCAGACTCGAGTGTGTTTACTCTGTGTCTGTGTGTGTGTATGTGAGAGTCTGTCTGCTTGTAATCATTCACCCATAGCAACTACAGTACCAGTTAAAAGTTTGGACACACGGAACATGTTTTTGTAGTCTTAATGACATTTTAATCTACAGACGTTTGGTTCAGGGACAACCATAATATTAAAGCTGATGCATAAAGGGGCATTACTTTATGCATCAACTCAAAAACGCATTACTCTGGTTCTCTATCTGGTGACCATGCTTTTGCGGCTGCTAATTTTTAACATCTGAAAATCTTTAATATGTGTATGTGCGTGGTTTCTGTTGATGTCTTGCTCAGTGTGTCAGAAGTTATTGTTTTCATTCCTTTTCACATTGTGTTGTCTTTGTGCCTTTTTCTGTATTATATTTGCCTTTTTTATTGTTTTATAAGGTTAATATTTTAAGCTTATCTACTAATTTTGTACAGCACTTTGGGCAATGCCATTTAATATTGCTCTATAAATAAAACTTACATACTTGCTGCTATTTATGAATTTATTTACAAAAGGAAAGTTTTAACGTTACTTTTAAAATATCCTCCCCAAACCAGTAGTAGTTTGTTTCTGAGGCAACATGGCATCCTGTTAGAAAAAAATCCCAGGTAGGTCCTCACAAAGCTGCCTGAGAGATGCCAAGAGTATGTAAAGCTGAATCAAAGCTGCTTCTATGGTGAAGAATCTAAAACTGAAGACTGGTTTCTTCATCACCCCATAATTCTATATGTGTTATTTTATAGTTTTTCTAAAATGTGGAAGGTATAAGAAATGTAAAAATATACAATGATGCATTGATCTAAATGGGGTGATTTTACAACATTGTTTTTAAGACATTCAAATTGATTATATCAGATAAAGTGTGTGGTCGTTTTTTGGCCAAAATAAAATTCCTGGACTGTTTTTCAAATGTCTAAACAAGCTTTATGTTTTTATTTAGTGTTTATTTAGTAATAACTTTAACTTTGTTATTATACATTGTTATATTAATTTTATTGTACATAATTCCTCCAGTCACATTTGGGTTTTCGGTAAATGTTTTGATATGATATATCCAAATCAAATTGTGATTTGAGTTTTCATGATGCATTGAATTGCATCTTAAGGAATAATAATGGTATCAAATTGTTTTGAGGTCAGAGAAAAAGAAAATCACTTCATGTATAGCAGTGCACAAACTATTGACTGCCACTGCAGAGCAGCAGTATCCACCTTATTTTTATCTTGGTGGGCCAAAGTGCAATGTTTGTGGCGGGCCGAGGGTCAAAAAGGCAAAACAAATGCAAATAAAGAAGCTAGGTAGGTTTCAAATCGAGAAAAAAAATATATATTTTGTAACAATGCGCTATATTTTGTTACTAAAGTTCTTCAGAAATACAATTTTAAAAGGAAAATAAAGATTATAGTTATATAGTTTAAATAAAGATTATAGTTATATAGTTATATATAGTTTAAAATTATGCTTATTCTCTCACTGAGTGAGGTGGTTTAGGGTAACTTTCTGGAGGTCCAAATCAAACATTCTTATGTGCCACATTTTGGGCAGCCCTGCTGCAGAGCTTTGTGTTTGAGAGATTAGTATCAGACTGCTTTATCTCTAATAGGACTGAACTTGGTGGGGGTACAAGAAGAGTAAAGTGCCTCTATGGGATAAAACGGCACAGAATCCCTTCATCCTACATCCTCCTCCATCTCCAAAGCTCTAAACTCCAGCCCCCCTGCAGAGTTTGGACTTCTTGCTCTCATTCACTGCCTCTTTCCATCATTCAGTCAATCCTATTAATCTCCTTCTTCTCTATCCCTCCTTTTCTAAGATGTGGCGGGGTCAGTGTCTGTGTATGTATGTATGCATGGGTGATGCTACTGGACATGCATAATCCATGGCTTGTACTGTGTAAGTCATTTTTGCCTACTTGTTTGCCTACTAATGAGTGCTAACTAGGTGTTACTAGTGCAATGTCAATCTGTAGTACTTTGCAAAGCTGCCATTTCTGCATTCCTCTGAACTGCTCTTTGCCTCTCTTTAGGAGCGTGCCACAGATGGATGCAGGGTGCTGAGTGACGGGACACTAAGTGGATTGGAAGAGTCTCACAGAGTGACAGAGGAACAGAGACAAAAGAGAGAGAGAGAGGAAGAGAGAGAGACAGAATAATCTGGCTAATCCAGGACAGGCCAATCCCGACGGAACGCTTGTCTCACGTCCGCTGCGAGACACAGCGGCAGGGATTACGGCTGGGGAAAAACACGCACACACCCACACAGACACAGTGGGACTCCACACACACTCACTCACTCACTCACTCACACACACTCACTCACTCACACACTTTGAGGCCTGAAGCCTGAAGAACGTTTTGCTGAAACAACAAGGACTGGAGAAAGTCGGCAGGACATCCTGTGGACTGCTAGGGGATGAAACCTCCAGAAGGAAAAAGAGATATTTCTTTTGGCTGCTAGAGAAGGAGGACAAAATAAGTGCTGGAGAGCGCTGCACTTACGCATTACAGCGTTCAATCCTGGTTAGTTTGCTTTGTGGAAAACTTTCATGTCTAAAGTTTCATGCCTAAAGAGTCTGGTCAGGTCATTGCAACAGAAATAAGCCAGTAGTGGTGTATGCGTGAGGCTGTGCTTTAATAGTGCTGTAATGTGTATGCTTCTTTGACTTTAGTTAAACATACTGGAGCTCTTTATCAATGGATTTAAAATAACCCGTAAACTCCTACAAAGGGCCTAACTATAAAGTTACATATCATTGCTCATGTCAAAGCCTTATATCTCCATTTCTTTACTTCTGCAATTTAAGAAAAGTAGCCAGCTGCTCTTGACATTGTGTGAATAATTCGCGATGGATGGATCAATAGAAACGCCCTAAAACGTACGAGATTGTGTTATTACAGATGCGAGGTTGTGTTATTACAGATGCGATATTAGTTTCTTAGTAGTTCCTAAGTAGTTTATACTTAATAGTTTATATGTAGTTATGCCTGAATAATATGTGTTAAGATTATTAACGGAATAATAAGTCTACAGTTTAAGGGGTTAATGGCTGGATGTAGGTGTTTTATGGAAGCTGATGGAACGTAGTCATTGTGAATGCTTCTAGAGAGAGGAAAAGAGATAGGAATAGAAAAAGGACTGGTTAGCACTCAGGCTGGGAGGAGGTGTTTAAAACCCACTGAAATCCTATTAAACTTCATTAACAGGGTTATTTATAATCTTTGAGTGAGTGTAGAGGTGCAGGTCGGGGCACGACCCAAAGCACCTTACTGTCCACTGCTCTGGGGGGGAAATATAACCCAGCAGCCTACAAACCCAAAACCCAAAACCACAGCTGTGCATAGGATATTTGGTTTTTGTCAACAACAGTCAGAAAGATGATGCAGATTTCTGATTCCAGACATCTTGATGATGGAGTAAGTGAAGGTAATAGTAGTATGTTATAACAGTTGGAATCTGAAGTACATTTCCCAAAGCAGTTCCAGCCCAGCCCTTGTCTGTGCTGCACTGTACTCAATTTTGCAAGGTAGTTCCCTGATTGGTCTGTTCCAGTCCACTTATTGAGGACCTTGCTGAGTAGCTGCTGATTGGTCAGTCTTTGTGCGGTAAATTGCTGATTGTTGGCCTCCGCACTTTTCTAATTGGTTTTTCTAATTGGTCAGTCTTTTTGTGAACACAGTCTTTGTTAGACACAGTCTAGTCAGTGAAAGAGTAGCTTATTGATGATGGAGTCACTTTAAGCATAGATCTTTTTTCAAGTCTAACAGTGTATTAATAATTGGAGATAGCAGGTGTTAAAGTCTGGTGCAGAGATTCAGCCTTTTATGCAAGAAAATAAAGCTTCTGTACAGGTTTGCTAGCACACATCTGAGCTTGGGAGGGTTCCTGACAGCAGTTGAACTTGCTGAATTCTCCACCCAGAGTTTCCTTAGACGACTGGATGTTAAAACCAGATTGAGTAAAGACCGCTATATCTCAAAAACACACCAAACCTCTGCACATACACACACACACACACACTCTATGGACTACAGTTGGCTTCTTTAAGCATCTATGGTTCTAGAGAAAGTAGGCAGTATTGCTCTGTGAAGACAAGATCGTTTTACTAAAGGAGCAGTGTTACAGAGACTTTGCATACTTTTTGGCATGTTTCGTGCAACTTTGCTTTGACCTTGTATCAGGAGGAACGAATAGCTATCTGCTGCTCATTTGTTTTTGTTGACTTTCTCTTGGAATTAAAAGGATTTCATTTGGATATTTTCAAAGCCACATCTTAAAGGGATCTTATTTTCAGAAGACTGACAGACTTTTCAGGAATCTCCTTATATCTGGATTAACGAATCACAAAAAACAAACCTATTGCTCTTTTTATTTACTCACTCTGGGATTTAAAGGATTTTGATTGGACCTTGCAGATTTAGGCCTGAAAGGGATTTTACTTTCTGTCACCATGAGTCTGGCCAAGCTTCCAGGATTTAAAGGCCTTGTGTCGACATCCCAAAGCAGGCGGCGCATTAAGACCGAACTTTCGGCCGAGATGATTAGCCTGCCACTGGGGGACTTCCGCCACACCATGCATGTGGGCCGTGGAGGCGACGTTTTTGGAGACACATCATTCCTCAGTGAGCACGGAGGCCAGGGAAGCACCCCGGAGAGTCCCGACTCCAAACCAGTGAGGTTTTTCTCCCGCACTCTGCGCCATGTCAGGAGGAACCCCCAGCACAGGCTTAGGACAGACTCCCGAGAACTCTCATCTCCACCCCCACCCATCTCACCCATCATAAAAAATGCCATCTCACTGCCCCAGCTCAATCTGACCAATGGAGGCCTGGAAGGGCCAGTGCTCCCCACCTCCACCAGCTGCCTGGAACAACCACTTTACTCCTACGGTAAGGCTTGAACATAAACACAGACATGTAAAGTGTGTGTTCTTTTCACTTAAACAAAGACATACAGTGTCACTGATACAAGACACCACTTACAGATCACCAGAAGCAAACTGAATGCAAATAATGCCCCCTTATGGAGAACCTTTAACCAGCTTAACATCTGTGAGTGTGTGTGTGTGAGTGAATGAGTTAACAGCCAAGTATGGACTGGTATGGAGGGGCTTTGCATCTAAAAAAATAAATTATTGCTTTTAATTAATTAATTAATTAATTAATTCATGAATTCATGCCACACATTTCCATAAAAATCAGAGCTGAGTTAACATATATGAATGTTATTTCTTCAATGTGAAATGCAATTGCTGATGGAATTAAACTAAAACATTTCAGTGCCGTTTTCATGGGTCTTCCATAGCCCAACTGTCTTCAGACTAAAAACATTTCATTTATGAAAATTCTTTGATTTATGTAAAACAGACAAGAACTGCTTCATTTTGGCTCATTTTAGAGTGCTGGGACCAGAGGCAGCTAGTTGTCCATTCTGGGTATGAAGCACTGTGGTAGGGACAAAATATTATATCAGCAGATTTAAAAAAATTGGAAAAACCATTTTAACATTAATGAATCTTTCAAATGGACTTCGATGCAGCAGCTTTACAGATAAGGAGACTTTAAGTAAAAAAGCTTCTTCAAATGAGTGAACCATAAAACTAACACTAGAGCTATTTTTTGCAGTACACAGAGGAGGACACGTTTTATCCATGAGCGTTTTTTAGTCAAATTTATTTGATATGAACGCAAAGAATGGCTTGCATTCAGGTGCATTAGTACTTATCTTTGTACATAATGTTTTTTTTAATTAGACAGTTCTGTTTAGTCTGACCAAGTTAATTTATCAAGTCTACTTTTAACAACCAAGTTATTAAAAAATGAACTTAGCTCACTTATGATCGTAACATTGGGCTTTAATCACCAATTGTTCTTTAGAAGAAATTTCTTTTTAAAACTCACTTATGCCGTTTTCACTAAGATTCTGACATTCACCAATGTTTTCTTATTTGGGATTTGTTCTTAGGCAAGAACAGAATCTACACACACTCAAGAGCAAAAAGGTGCAAACAATCCTGTGCTTTAAGAACACGTCACAGATTTTTTTTCTTAAGACCTTCCTCAAGAACAATTTTAATAAAACCTCAGGAAGGTATTGATGAATGAGGCCCATTGTTCTTTAATGTTATTTATCATTAGACATCATATTAAAATGAGTGTCAGTAAAAAAAAAACAGTAACCTAGATGAGGTGTGGCTTACCTTAGAGCTACTTGTTCTAGCAACACTGGTCTATGAGTGAGGTCTTCCTCAGAGATTAATCCAAAACCTTTTTAACTTCAGAATAAGATAAAAACAGTACCACCATTCAGACGATCCTGTTGGCATGTGTTTGAATGAAATGTTCTACAGTAATATTTTTACCCTTAGCCTAGTAATTCTGGTTAATTTACTGCCAAAGCCATTCTCACTGCACATTGTTGTTTTGTGTTGTTTACTTTGCTTGAACAATCACTATTTTGCAAACATACTACTCTTGTACTACATGGAAGTAAATTACACAACTGGCGAGATATATTTAGTCCATTTCGGCACAACCTGGATGTGCTTAATGCTATGTTTATTTAAACTGTAGTGTGCACTGATTCAAGAAAACTATATTATTTACGCCTGTCCAATATAGAGAAAGACTTACACAATATTATAAAAAAGTTAGAATTATGAAATACATCTAATTTTAAATTTTTATTAAGGCATGCTTAATTTGCTTAAATGTATGAGCCATGCTTGGTTGGGATACTGTGGGCTTACTTAAGGGTTGCAGTGAATGAACTAGTCAAATGTTTGGAAACACCAGATTAAATATATTGCTGTTGGGTTGGTGTGCAAATTATTAACATACTGCACTTTTTTGTGCTAACAGGAAGTTTTAAGTGATGTTGCTATGCCACTGCTTGTCATTTTAAACAGTGACCTTCTAGGTGGCACTAGATTTAAACAAAACAGTATCTTGCCCTGAATGTATTAGCTTTTTTTGCCACCATTTTGAGTTATTTTAGAATTTTCCAGCCACGAGTAACTCCTTCTTTCCCACTTTGCAATAGTCTACTTAAAAAGTGATCCATTTCAAGCATACTCAACTTTGAAACTTGATAATATTTCAGATATAATGTACCCTGTTACATGAATGAATGGTTAGCATATTATTAGTATACACTGAAGATGTTTTTCAGAATCTTTTTTGATCTAAAAGCTTCTGCTTAAATGTAGAGAAATATATACAATTTAAAAAAGTGGATTGAGCTGCTAGTGTGGTGGTGGCAGCATGCGTGTTCTTTAGTCCTGTTTGAAAAGCATCCCAAGCATCTCATGAAGCTGCTTGTAAAAATAATTATCAACAGTTTATTAAAGCTACATCACAACATAATGAGGGCTACTTTTAAGAATCTAAACAGGCGATCAGAAGACAGTTTGGATTTATCTGACACTATATAAATTCAATATGTTAGTTTGTTTTTTTTACTGTTATTGTAAAATGTGGAAAATAGCAAAAATAAGGAATCACTTATAATCTTTAACTTCCAAAGAACAAGATGTTATCTAGTGTTGATGTCTTATTGCAACCAACCACCCAAACACAGAAACACAAACACACACAAATGGTTGTCTGTGGTAAGAATCCAAACAACTAATAAAAAACACTCTGGCTGTTTCTGAGTCATCCGGAATCACCGTGGCGACACCTGAGTGCGATTACAGCTACACACAGAGACACAAACACACACACACACCTACAGAATGCTAAAGACATATATAGAGCACATACACGTACACACACACACACACACACACACACACACACACACACATGTACAGAGCACCAGACAGGCACCCCAGTCTTATTTTCCGAAAGAATGAAAGAGAATGAGACGGCTGCATCTGGCTGTATGGGTTTGTGTGTATGTGTGTCTGTGTGTCCATGTATGCGTACAGTATTCGCTGCAAGATGTCTGGAATTTCCCCTTGTCCTGGGAGCACTTACCCAATCCTAAAAGAATTCACCAAAAAAAGGGAGAGGAGAGGGCTTAGAATGGGCATGATGTGTGTGTGTGTGTGTGTGTGTGTGTGTGTGTGTGTGTCTGTGTGTGGCTGAACAGCACTGAGCAGTCCAAGTCAATGTGATATACACATTCTCATTCACTTTTAATGTCCATTGTAAGCTCTCAGTCTGTCCAGTTCTTTCTCTCCCTCTTTAACACTTTAATTTGAAAAACAGGAGACCTGCTGTTAAGTTGAATTAAAAATCAGTTAGACAGACAATTTTGAAATTACAGATTCCATTGTAGAAGGCCAGTGAACCAAAGGTGAGCACACCTGTGATGCAATTACCAATGAATGCTAATTATTTAGGCCCTGTTGCAACCTTTGACAAAACTATTTATGGCTGCTTGGCTGTTTGTTTTTATGCTAGACAAAACCAACTGTTAACACCAGAATTTTTCTGATTTCAGTCTCTTGTGGGCTGAGTGTAATCCATCATGGCTCCACATAGCAACAAACTTTCTGAAAAAGTAAACCAGCTGGAAACCAGAGAAACCAGATAATAAAAATTCACAAAGATGGAAAAGAGTAAAGGAACACTGAAACTATTAAACATAAGCTGAAACACAGCTGCAACATTTATTAGTAAGTATCTGAAGAGCCATCCTGCACACAGTCTTCTATTTATGTAAAAGGTGATGAAGCTCACAGTCCTCTATTAGAGAATCTTGCACTAAAAAACAGACAGGCCAGTGCTTCCAGCTTAGTGCTTCCTAACTCATAATCTTCAGAAGTTAACCTCTCAAAGAGTGTCCAAACAGTGCACAGGACACTGCATGAAGTTAACCTTCAAGGGCAGTGTCCAACAAGAAAACAGTAACTAACAAATTGGTACAAAACTGCAAGACTAAGATTTGAAAAAGAGCATGAAAGCACATTCTCTGTAAGAAACTAATATTAACTTGATTGGATCAGATGAGGTTCAGCATGTCTGGCGTTGACCTTGCCGGGACTATTATGGTTCCTGCAGAGTGCCAACTGTGAAACATGCTGAAGGTAGTAAGTTATTGTGGGGCTCTATGATTTCTGCAGGTATAAGAGAGGTGACTTTTATAAAAAGACACAATAAAAAGACACTTTTATGTAGTATATACACCAAAATTCTGAAAGATGAGGTAATTCCCACTCTTAAGGAGGAATGGTAGGAAAGGAATGTTTAAACACAACAATGATCCTAAACACACTGTAAAAGCACAATAGTTTTTAAAGAAGAAGAAAGTGAAAACCATTGCCTGGCCAAGTATTTTACTTGATTTGAACACTGTTGGGAATTCTTAAAGCAGAAAGTAGAGCACAACCCCTCTAGCAAAGAAGAGCTGGAAAGAATCATCTGTGAAGAATGTGAAGATCTCTCAATTTGTGCTACATTTGTGTAATCTGTGCCAAGGAGACTTGAACAACAAAAGTGAACATACAAAATATTAGAAAACAAATGATGAAGGGTGCACTGACTTTATTGAAGTTCTCTTTAATGTATGAACCCTTCATTACAGTTTTACCAGTCAAACAGTTCTATTTTTATATAGCTTAAATTATTTTGTTCTACAGACTAAAACTAATTAAGCTGCATTGAACAGAAATCATTTCTAATTTACCAAACATTTTAGTGATATATTACCTTCTCTTCTCTTTGCCAGTCATGCCCACTTCCAAATGGTGATTCATACATGGTGGAATGTGTGTGTGTGTGTGTGTGTGTGTGTGTGTGTGTGTAGAAAGGAAAACTCTCACACTACTGTGCAGTTATAGGGTTGCTTAACACTGTCATCTAGTGGACATCAACACCCACTGCAGTAAACGTCCTGATAACCACTTACTTACAGTAGGCAGGTTTTAAATGTTTTAATGAAGTGTTTTACAGGAATGGTTCAGCAAAAAATCTAATTTACACAAGTTTCCACATGTAGTACATGTAAATGTAGTCGACATTATTTGGGTCCAAATTTTTCATCCTAATGAAGACCTTAATGATTTGCTACAGTTACTTATTTATTTAGTAACATATTTAAGAATATTTTATACCATTTTTTGTGTCATTTTGTCCCATTATTTTATTAAGTCAATAAAAACTCTAAATGACTTTTATGGTCACATGAAGTATTAGGAATTTCCTCTAAATGAAGTGATATTTGCTTATCTTCATATAGAAAGTTTATAAAAAATGTTCACTGGAACATTGAAGACTACATATGACTTCAAGATCTTTTAAAATGTACTTCTTGTTTATACATGAAATATTACTCAATTTTTTTGGGAGCTGCAAACTCAATATAGTCATGTAGAATGAATAAAAACATTGCTACTTTGGACTACTGCATAACAAGAATATATCACTGACAGCTTGTTTTAACTATAATTACAATAATAATGATAATAAAAATACTAAATATACAATTACAACTACTGCTACTATTAACGCTGTTTCCACAATAATAATACTTTTACTACTATAACTAATACTACCACTATTACAAATAATAATAACAATAACAATGTTTTATTTATATAACTACCATACTGTAAATACTATTACAGTTTGTACCTGTTGTAATCCTATGACTGTCCTCTGTAGGTGTCCAGTCAGGTTTCGTCACGCTGCCTCGTCTGTCGCGTCTCGACAGGAACTCAACAGAATCACCTCCGCTTCAGCCTCAGCAGCGGCGTGGCTCAGATCCAGACCCTTTCCCCACGCTCCAACGCTCCGACTCACTCACCTCCTTTACCGTGGACCTCGGACCCTCCCTCATGACTGAACTGCTGGGCCTCATTAACAGCTCTAGTGACTTCCAGGGGGTACAACAGGACCTGGAGGATGAAGAGGAAGAGGAGGAGCCAAGCTCATTGTTTGAGATGGCAGTGGAGAGTCCGTGTGTGAGCAGCAGGGGGTGCTCTAGCAGCCCAGACTGGACCCAGCAGGACACTGAAACAGGTGAGAATGGGGACGTTATTAAACAGGTGACGCCGGATGCTTCCATGTGGTCCCCGGTGAGAGTGGAGCCGACTATGGAGGCCGAAAGGTTCCAGCAGGCAGCCGACATACTGGCACGCCATTACGGAGGGTCTGGAGTTATAAAGGGACGACGGAAGGCACCGCACGCTTTCCCTGAGGAGGAAGAGGAGATCAAAGTATGAACATGGAGGGAAAGACATTACAGATATGTTAATGTAGACAATACACTAAAGCAATAGTTAAGCAAAAAGTGTAATTTACACATTTTCTCCCTTATCCCAATTAAAGTTGACCAGCCAAGACATGTTTGGTGTCTTAAGTTTGCTTCTTTAGTTTTGCACTGGAACCACGAGGCTAATGTAGCTAACAAATAATAGATAGTTTTACATCATCAATTAGCATTATGCAAATTGCATGCCTAAATCATCACACATTTGCCTTAGTTACAAAAGTACAGACAAAATTGAGGCTTCAAGAATACTGCTACACTGTTTTCAGCTATGCAGTGGCCTTTTTTATGAATAGTTGTTCTTGTTAGCCTACATTAGCTTATATTAGCCTAGATTCAATGTGAAACTAAAGAGGCAAACGTCAGACACCAAATATGTCTTGGCTCATGAATTACATTTAGAGTAAGAGGAAAACTCTTCTTCTTTTTTTTTTGCATAACTGGGAAAATTATGCAGTTTTGTTTATTATTTTTTGTCTTTCATTTAAACCCTGAAAAAACTGTAGTACATCAGAGAGCACTACTGACTCTGTTGTTATTTAGTCTTTTTATACTACATGCATTTTTCAAATACAAGGAAAGTAGTGGAAGATAATGTTAAAAAACACAGCTTTTATACAGGCATAATTTCCAGATAAAATAATAAGATAGACACTAGATCTTTTGACTTAAACTTCTCAATGTGTTCTTTTAAACATTAAACTTCTTCAAGCACTACAGCCAAAAACATTTATATCTTCAGAACCTCCTTGTGTAATGAGCGCCTCCTAGTGCAAGTTCATAGTCCTGCTTATCCACACACTATACACAGTGAGTAGTGTGGTAATGAAAACCTTTAGCTGACAGCTTCAGCAGTGTTCAATCTTCAGTTTTGTATGTATCCTCTCAGCTGCAGTTTAATGTAAACTTTCTGTGCTGGTTTCTGTAGCATTCATTTATATATTGTTCTTTGTTCTTAGAACTTATGGCTCAAAAATGTCAGTATGTAAGAGTTTAAGTGTCACTCATGTAAATAATTCAATAAAAAGGTAATTTTTTTTTAAATACTGTGCTGGTGCCACCTTAAGTGATTTATAAACCTTCTCTTCTGTACACTGGTGTGTGTGTATGAAGTGTGTGTGTAAGGTTGGAAGTTAGCTGGGTAGTTGTTGGTGTGACACGAGAAGTGACCTTTTTATTCTTTGAAACCAATTTCTTACCATTAATCAGGGAATTTCTAGATTTGTTGTGTAATTCTGAGCCCTCTGTTGCAGGTGTCTAGTTCCTGGTCCTGAGGTCTTTTCCAGTTTCTCCAGGTTCATTGTACCTGCCTTCGCAGGGGACTGTAGCAATGATTACTGGAAACCTTGCAAATTAGGCATGTCTTACAAGCCAGACTTCTGCCAGTTGTTAGGGAGTCCATGTTGTTTTATCATTTATGTGACCAAAAACCTCCTACTTTGACAAGAAATGGCCCTCTAACTGACAAAAAAAAGATGCAAAAATGTCATGATGTGAAACTCCCATATGTTTTTCAATCCAGCAACTATAGCTTGCTCCAAAAGTATAGTCACTCTGTGATGCTCGCAAAACTGTGTTTTCCATCAACAGATTAAAACCGGCATACAGAAGTCTGTACTCACAAATTTGTGGCTAGATAATCCAAATACAACTCAGAAAATTTGTTAAAAATTTTCTATTTTTATGTTTTACGTATATATTTTTCAAATTAATCAACAGTATCCATCCATTTTAGTTAATGCCACATTTTTAAAATAACTCGAGTTTGATGTACATGTAGTTACTGTAAAGCACTACCAAAGCATTATTATCATTTACCGGTGCAGCATTTCATTGTTCCATATAACATATTTCTACAAATAATTCCTAGAGTGTAACACATAGCAGTCCAAAATAAGCATAATATATTTAGAAATTAATAACAAATTGTTTACAGTGGTAGCACATGAGGAATTTTATTGTTTTACACTGAAAGTTAAATATTCACATGAGATATGAAGGCATTAATATTAATACATATTTGGGTTATGCAAAACAGATCAATTGCTTTGGAAGAAGGAACCAAAAGTTGGTTCCATACATGAAAACTATCTAAATTAAATGTCAGTGGTTTCAGTGGTTAGACCACATTTGGCAACCCTAACTCAAATACTGTTTGCTTACATTGATTAGGCTATTGTCAGAGTAGGTTGCTATGACAATATTCAGACATTCATGTGTTTTGACTCTACATGTAATTATTGTCACAGTGTAGATGGTTGGATTGCCTTTTAGATCTCTGAGAAATTCAAAACAGTCTCCTAAACATGCCTCACAATGCTTGGGTTGCAAAATATCATTACTGCTTTATTTTTAAAAGAACTATAGACCACTGTAGTCGTGTCGTCATTTTGTAGTCGGCGCCATGTTGTTATGCCCATATTAGGAACTCCGGGTCTAAGCATCATCTCTATGGCCAGAATGAATAGAATTTTCGAAAATTACCTCTTTCACACTCTGTGTTTAATGCAAATGTTCAGAACCCGATACATTTTGTCCTGTGAGCATTCTTCTCTCGATTATCACTGGATCCTCTGAATTACGAGGTCGTTAAAGAGTTGAAATATGAATATTGCTACATGTGAGCTAAAGCTGCACACTGAATTAATGTCATTAGACTGACTGTCTTCTTAAGCAGGTCTTGGCAGTAAACATTTCCATGTACAGACTGCAGTTCTCTGTTCTTTATCTGATGCTCACTGAAACACGATAGATCTTTCCTTTTAGCTTGATTTGAAAAGATCTACAAACGTACCTGAACTCGGGCTAATCCAGTACAGACTCAGCTTAATATCACTGCTGACCCCCGATAAACTGATTTAGGCTCTCAGAATATCCTAATTATTATTTTAATGCTGGTAACATTTATCTATGGACATTTTCTCAGGACATTCACCAGCTTTTTGTTCAACTTTTCCCGTGGAACGGGAAAATTCGAACAAGCGAAAAAGAAGCTGACTTCAGCTTCATGGAGGGTTGAAAGGCATGATAAGAGGATGTTTCTCTATTTCCGCTTAACAGCTGAGTGACATTGACTTATTTTGCTGTTTAACAGAACCGACAGGTCAGTATTTTGTCTAGTTTGCTAATGCTTGTGGTGGCTAGTCACAGCTCCTGCACCATTTAAGGTGGAACAGGACATTCACAAAAAGAAACTGCTAAAAAAGCTGCTAAATTCAGCCTCGTAGTACGAGGCTCGTAAATCAGAGGATCCAGTGGTATTCAGGAGAAAAACGTATCGGGTTCTGAAGATTTTTATTTAACACAGGGTGTGATGGAGGCGATTTTTCGAAAACCCTATTCATTCTGGCCATAGAGAAATGGGGCTTAGACCCGGAGTTCCTTATGTGGGCATAACGAGGACTACAGAATGACGCACGACTACAGTGGTCTATTAAGGCAAGTGGCTGCAGTAAAAAATGACGTAGCCCAGGGTGGTGATTGGTTTAAAAAATGATTGACAAAAGCCCACTTGTCCCCCAATCTACATTTCATAAGCCCTATCCCAGCCGCCTCACTTGTGGTGCTGTGGTGCTGTGGTCCTCGGTATTGGTGCTCACAGGCGCCCTCTATGCACTTTTACTGCAGCCTTCGGCAAGGATTTCATCAGTGCGTGCTGAGCAGCGGCCTTTTACTGGTAATACAGGCTAGAACCAATTAGAGTGGATGGATTTATTTACAGCTGCCTGACCAACGTGATGAGGAAGAACGTATTCAGATATGAGTTCAAATGCATTTGTTTATAAATTTAACTTGTCATTGAGCTGCATTATTTGTAAAGTGTATTGAGACACTGTAGATAAACAAAATGATTTAAAATCATGCCTGGTACAGTACAGGGATAGCCTGCACATTGCACAAGTCTGTCCCAAATACACACTTTTAAGTTCTCTTGCCCCTCTATGAACATGCATGATGATGACAGAGCTTATTCCTCAATGTTTATATGCTCTGCAAACAACTATGATATTTGTTTCTTCTTTTTGTCAAAAACTCATCTTTGTTGCTTATAGCTTATAGCTTTTATTCCATGTGTGAAAAAAATGAATGCAATTCTCCATTTTTTACTCACTTTGCAAGCATTTGTGCATGTTTCTGAGACTCTGCCTGTCCATTTACAGCCCTATAATATCTATGTTTAATAGGCTAAATACACACACAAGCTGTGGTATGCACTGGCTAATTTAGAACAGTAATCAGCAGCATTTAAATGAGATTGGGAACCAATATATGCACACATGCACCTGTTGTGAATTTTGTGCAAGGAGAGAATGTGTCCCATTGTCTATGAACGCTGGAATTAACCCAGATCCTTTACTCTCAGGGAAAAGGTATTAAAGTGTCAAGAGGCAGTACCTCTGCTGTCACTGGGGTGGTCTTCAGTACAAATATTAGAAGAGTTTTTTGAGTTTTAATAAGTAAACACAGCCTAGATTTCAATAGGAAATCAATGTTTTCAACAGCTGAAATGTTTATTTGTGATGAACTATTGAAATATGTATACATTTGTGTGACTATAATGCATGTTTAAGAACCATATGACTTTTTCAGACAAGTGAACAGACTTACGCCTCCTCAAGAGATCTTCTATTAATCTGATTCTTGATTCTCCTTCCTGAAAAACAGTAAAAAGCAGTGCAAAAAATTAATTACAATTCTAAAGTAACTACCTTACTAATTAACTATATAAATAAATCCTCTCTAAACACAGTATCCATTCTGCATGGGTCATATTTATATAAGAGAGGGCAACTCATCTCAAGTTAGTGCACTTGTGGGTGTTCTGACTGTCAGTGAGGGCAAATACACTTAGGTAGTTTTTGGGGGAATATGCTTTTAAATCACAGCCTTTCTTTGTCTAGATCTGAACATTTCAAGAGAGACGATTCCCAGAGTTAACAGGCAAATAGTTTTCTTCATGTTTGTATATTAAGGATATTTCACAGTGTAATGATCATCAAGCATGTTCAATGGTCCAGAGGTATGCACACTATGATATTTTTCCCCTTTTTTCCTGACCTCTCTGTTCCAAGAGGCTTTGCTTGGAGTACTTAGATGGTTTCAGCATATTATATTTTATTTACTATAAAAAATCTGTGGAGGGGGGGCTCCTGGTAGTGGTAGATGGAGTGTTTGTTCTCTTAATTCTTCTTGATTTTCATGCTTAACACTATCGATCCATGCGTCTCACTAGTGATACGGTCTGAGGATTTGGCTCTGGCCCCTTTAACTTGTTAAAATCTGTCCCCAGAGAAGTTAAGGCACATGCATGTTCACATTGTTCAGTGTAAAAAAAATACAAAATCACAGTAACAATAAAATGCAAATGATGTGTGACATGTTCAGTAAAAACATACAAATTGTCAACTTTCTTAGATCAAGAAGAAGTAAGACAAAGGGCAAAGAGATACAAAAAAAATAAACAAGTACACTTGAAAAAAATGAACCATACAAGTTTAGTTACAGCAACCTGAAATCATAGGTATGGTTATATTGACTGAAATCACCCATGTGGTTGCATACATTGCTTACATAAGTATCAGATGGCTGTCATATTTATATGACACATTCAAATGAATTAGATTTTTGAAATAATTAATAAAATGCTCATTGAAGTGCTGTCTCTTTGTCAACTTCCATTGTTTTTAGTGTGTTAAAACACAGTGATATTAAATGTTTTCATTAACATATAGTTAACTGTAATAAATAATAAGATATATATTTAAAAATAAATGGGAATTTTCAGTTGCCATTAATGATTGATACTGAAATGTATTAATCAATAAATTACCGTTCTGTTCTTATTAGCTTATGGAAATGTTTCTTAAGTTTTTATAATTTAAATAATTTCAAATTATAAAAAATAACGCTTCATAATTGAAAATAAAGTGTAGACAAGAAGGCAATATTAATATTAAGTAGTTATTCAGAATTATTATGAATTGTTTGTACATAGGTACACACTTGATATGTCAAGTTATAATCTACAAGTTAATAGATAACAAGCCTGTTAAAAAGAACGATTAATTTTCTGCCTATTAGAGCCTGTCATAAAGTGTAACTAATTAACTTCATCCTGTCGGATTCTTTACTTCATCCAAATAAAAAAGACAAATATATTTACAGTTTAGAGTCTCATATGTCCATGTTTTACCAGGTTTTGAAATGTATTCATTTAAAAATATGAATAATAGTACTTAAAATAAGAAATTTTAAAATAGGATAAAAATAGTAATAATAAGTATTCATTATTCACACACAGTACAGTATTTTACTGCCACTGTTAATATGTATTAATCTGGGGACAAAAACTTTGTTCAGCCAACCACCAGTTCCATTCTGTTTGGGTACAGGTTTAATAATAATTTATATTTTTTTTCTACTGATAATTAAGCATTTAAAAATAATGCTAAATACTCAGGTATAACCTAAGTATGGAAGAATTTCTGCCTTTTGGATTCTTCATCTGGATTTGCTTGTCATCTGCTGCTCATTGGATCTGACCTGTGAATAAAAGCCCTTTGAGTCTAGCTGGTTATATTAAATGTGATCTACTATTCCCTGAAATCACATGACATGGGCAAAATGCTTTGCAAAATTAATTGATCATTTAATAGTTTAGATGTAAACAAAATCATTCAGAGTAGTTTGGTGTGAAATGTGCCGTTCTAGAGAAATTTACAGAGCCAAAATTGTTCACCATTGTAGTACTAGGATCCAGACTTTGTTAAGTCTTCACTACAAGTATCATCATTTTATCTGCTATCCAAAATGACCAGTGAACTTACGTATGAACTTACGTAAATTTTCATATGTCACGCTGACAATGGTAAAATACTGCGAAATTGAAAAATTATGTTTTCCTTACAACACCCTGCATGTACCTCTCTGCCCTGCACACCTTTCCACTATGCTATCCACCTAACTATCCACTTTGCTGTCCTACACCATAAACCTCTAAGCAGAGTAGCGAGTAGTTTGCTACTATGGATCTACAACATTTTGGAAATAGACCTCCTCAAAGTCTTCTGTGTACTCTGCAATCTTCCAAAACAGGTAAGAAGACAGTAAAAATAAACAGTAAATAAAAGCTGTTCCAGGCATTAGCCATGCTAAACAGCTGTAGCTGCAGGCTAGTAACAACAAAAGCACATTAGGTTACGTGCATTGATCTCAGTTGAGAATGCAGTTTTGAGAGGAAACAGGAACCACTCCTGGAGTAAAACTTTATACTAAAAATACGTTTTAGGCCAAAACTTTATAAAAAAAACCATCACAAAATCATGTCTCAAGTACAAAGCCATGCATTCATAACCATTTTATGTAATAGCTTAACGGGATGTAGCTTTTAGAGCCATTAAACGTGTCGGACATCTGGTTCCTAGTACTTTAATGGTTAACAATTTTGATTTCTCTGGAAAAGCGCATTTCACACCGAACCACTCTGAATTATTTTGTTCACATCTAAACCATTAAATGATGAAGTAATTTTGCAAAACCAGTGGAGTTCCTCTTTAATGCTTCATTACTTTTCAAGCTGTATTCTTTTAAATCACATGATCTCTGAAATATACAGCACCCAGGCAGTGGCTGGAATCTGTTCAAAGTCCTGCTTTGTTTTTCATTTACTTTTCATGTAGCAACACTGATTCTATTTACATACGCAGTATTGTATCACTTATCAGGGCTGGGTGGAAGATAATAATATAAGGAATTAACTGAGGGAATAGGTCAGGTCAGAGATAACACTTTCTTTACGGTCTAGGTTTTAACAGGGTAAGTGTGAGATTTAAACTCCAAACTACTTGCATTTTTTCATGAAACTCCTGATGCACAGTTCTTGTGCTGATGTTGCTTCCAGAGGCAGTTTGAAACTCTAGTGAGGGATGCAACAGATAATGCTGTGCGTTTACATGGACTACTGCTCAAGTGCTGGTGGTACATAACTGGTACTGGTTACAATTTGTAAAGTATGTAACAAAAAATTAATTGCCTATTAAATACTAAATAATTAGCATAATAATAATAATAATAATAATAATAATAATAATAATAATAATGATAATAATAATAATAATACATTTAATATATAGAGCACTTTCATAAACAAAGCAGCTCAAAGAGCTTACAATTGAGGAGTTAAATTAAGTAATGAAAGCAAAAACACAACAAGCAGAAAAAGGAAAGAATAAAATTAAAAGGTTAAAAATATTATGAGGTACAATGACAAGTAAATAAAATAAATGACAACAGTATTTTAATTAATAAGTATGTTAAGAAAAATACATTTTCAAATGATTATTAAAAACGTCAGCTGAACTTAAAAGCAAAAAATGAATTATTAGTAAATAGTAATTAGTGTTGTTTCTTTATGACATTAAAATGTGGTTCAAAGATTTAATAATGATCACTTTTAAATGTAATGATAACCATGCAATTAAATTAAGAAACATTTAATTAATGACATTCACATTTAATTTACATTTTATTAATACATAACACTATGGGGTGAAATATAGCATATTCTTTATTTCACCATTACTAGACTTGGCTTAATCTGGTTCTGGAGACCTGGCTTCTTTGTGAATTTAAACTTGGTGAGTAAAGTGTGAAGTCACTTTTCTGGAATTTTTGGCAATAGCTTCTCTGCTTGTTTCAATGAGCCACAAGTGAGAAATAATTAATATGAAATAGAAATTGTATTCATATCAAACAGAAATATGATATGTAGAAACAGGAAATGCTCAAATGAAAACCATCATAATGTCATAATGTTTTGTCAAAAACAGTGGAATTGATCAATTAAATAGTTAAAGTCCTGCAATGTTCTGCAATGATAAAGATATTTTGTAGTGGTGACAGACTCCACCCACTGCCTAGGTGTAGCAGACTTCAAAAATCACGTGATTTACAGGAATCCAGGTTTAAGAATACTAAATTATCAATTTGTATTTACTCACACCTGTGTCATGTGATTTCAAGGAATACCAGATCACATCCAATATAAAGGACAAGCATGTGAGTGCCCTATTTCTGCCAGAATAACATGAAGCACATGGCAAAAAGTATCAGGTGGAGCAGAGAACAAGAATGATCAGAAGGAACAGATGGCAAGCAAAGGGGGAGGAAGAAATGGAGAGCAACACTAGAAGGCAAAAAGCTGTCCTTTCTCAGGTTGTATATTTTATTTTATGATTTTAAACATTGAACAATGACAAGTAAGCTTTAACAAATAATTGATGTAGACTTTGTAACAAAACACCCAAAACATCCAAAACAAAATTAATCCGTAATTATTAAATTATTAACAATTCAAATTCATTTCAAAATGCTATATATCCATTTGTAACAATTTTGGGTGTAACGTGTTTTTGAAAAGAATAACAGCTGACATATAATGGAAAACACATGTTTCTTTCTCTACTAACGGTGGTATTAATCATAATACCGTATCATCATATTTCCTTTACACCTTTCCTGAATGAGAACAGCTTTGTTTAACATATATGAACAATTCCTGATGTGAAATCATTTTTTGAAAATGAGATATCTGACTAAGAAAAAAATATATAAGGGAAAGTACAACAGTAAATAAAAAACACATTTCTATATCTTTTTTCAGTGGCAAAATATTCTTCCATTTTTTGTTGTTGGGCCAGAATAATATGTTGGGTACATACTATTCATTAAAGTAAAAAAATATCATTATTATTATTATTATTATTATTATTATTATAAATTGAATAATTCTTGAAAAATGGACAAAAGTTTCAGAAATTATATTCCATTTTATGTTAGTTAGTTAAAAGTGATGTTTGATGAAACTCCCTAATTAGCCTCTTGGACCCCCGACTGTCTCAAAATTCTGGGGGGTCTCTGAAAATAAACTTATTATGAAATTATGCTGTCCATTAGGGAAAAATAGATACTCAAATACAAATTCAGGGAAAGGTCATTCACCCACAATCGGTGAGCTTCTGTCTTTGGTAGTCTTAACTACCTAGGAATGCAGCGATGGTCTGCCTCAGGGTAGCACTGTAGCACACTGGTTCACCCAGTTGGTCCTTCCTAACCCAGCAACTGAAATTATGCACGGGATACCTCTGAAAATCTTTACAATATGCCATAGTGTATTTCTAAATCTGAAAACTTGCCCAGTTTTTCAAGAGATTTCAGGAAAGAGTGATTTGTTGCTAATTTCTCAAAACCGAAGACAAAAGAGATGTGTAAGATCTATTATTTCGCACACTGAGCTTAGTACGCATGTTTTTCCTTTGCCTAAAACATGCCTTCAGACCCTACTAGAGCTGGGTTAGTTTTGCCTGGGGAGGTGCTGTAATTTGAGTGATTATCAACGAGATCTATAATTTTAATTCAATATGAATATGCCTTGTCTGTAGTTTTTACAAGTCTGCTAAGTAAGAATTCCAGAGCAAATTACCTTCTATAATGCGACAAACTCAGAGCTCCTCAGTAATGTGATGATTAAGGTATGAAATATATGCATAAATTATTTAGTTATAATTTATGCAATTTTTTATGTTTTTTTTTTTTTATTCATGTACTTATTTATTTTAAGTTTGCAGCTGGTATGTAAGAAAATCATTTTGATTTCCAACATGGCAGATAGCTTTGAGAAGAGCTAAAAGATCCCCCAACTACAAGAAATGTATGAATTATCTCTCAAAAAGGTATACACACTTGGGTGACAAAACCCACTAGACTGTCTTGTGATATTCAGAAGTTCTGTTTAAAAAATAAAAGCTTACAGTTGCATTTTGTGTTGTCTGTTGTTCAGAGGAGACATCTAGTGGTGATTTGGTATATCAGTTCAGTTTGTAAGTTTGTAAATTTGAGTTACCATAGTTACCATAGTTCTGCCAGTACAGCACTGCAGGGAAGCAATTAAATATTTTTTGAGGTTCAATTTCCATTGTCCGGTCATGAAACATATATGGGAGTATATAGCTTTATTTATATTTTTATTTTCTGAATAAGATATTTATTTTCATATATGGTAGTTTTATGATATACTGAAGCTTTTGAAGCAAGCATGTCAAAAAAATGTTTTGAGGTTTTGAAACATTTGACACATAATAACTTTTACTGGTCATCTGTCTGATCTGACTATATAATTTAATTTTTCCTTTCTTTTTGTAATGATTACTAAAGAAGATTAAAAAATAAATGTAAAGAAGATGTGTCAAGTGTATAAAAAAGGAAGTTTATATCAAGTGTATAGAAACAAGGGAGAAATATTGACTGGAGGCTTCATTGGAGCATCCTTTTGATATTTTTTATTAAATTTGTAATTTACACTTTTTTCATTGAAGCTAATAAGCCAACTGCCATGTTGCCTAATAATTGTAAGGGTGCAACTAAAAGGTTTGCAGGTTTCATTGGTACACCGACATTCTGAAGCCTCATTTATCTATGATCACATGACATTTGCCTTGACATGACATTTGCCTTTAACTACACATTAAAGCAGGGCTTTAAAATATCTGCATTTCTAAAGCTTGACATAGTGTTGATGTTAGTATTAAGCATCTCATCACTATTTACATGCTGTCTTAGGTAGAAATTGCAACTGATGTGAAAGTTTTTGATGTGAAGTTGAATAGTACTGGTGCTAAACTGTTAGCCTGTCTATGATAATTCCCATACATATTAGCAACAAGTGAATAAATGTTTTAGAGTTTGGTAAATGTAGCGTTAAGCATTTAGTTTAGCCAATGACTTTTAATAGGGAATCCTCTCATATAAAGGAGCATGTGCTTTACTTAAATTTTTTTTTTATAATGCTAATTTTTAATTGATTTGCTTTGTTTTTCAGGAAGGTCAATCAAGATGCAGATTAACAGAAGAGCTCTTGAGTAGGCTTGGCCTTGAGGGCAAATATCAACACAAACTTACAAGAGCACATTTTCTTGAAATAACTCCATCCTCATTACAGAATGATGAGCCCAGGAAAGAGAAGGATCTTGTTTACGCTTTCCTGCAACAATTGTTCACAGCAGATTACAGAGCAAGACACGCCTCTGTCAAATCTGAACCCACAACACCAAATCCTCAGCACACAGCTACAGAAGATGTTTTTCAGGCTCTGTTTAAAAAAAACACTGTGAACACAGAAAAGAAACAAGTCCATATTCACCCAATGGACATTCAGATGGCAGTGTTCCTCTGTGCAGATCATTTTCTTCAGCAGACCATGGTAACTAAGCTCTCTCAGTGTCAGTATGCAGTTCCGTTGTTGGTCCCCAATCCTTTCTCTAAAATGATTGAATTTCCTCTGTGGACAATGCGCCATATTAGTAAGAGCTGGAAGACCACTGATGCTTCAGACAAAGTCATCAGCAAGACCCTGCCCATATGCAAAGCTAAAACTTCAATGGTTGCATTCTTCAGGATTGGCTCTATTTCCTCATCTAAATCTCAGCTAATAAATGGCCTGATCAATGAGAAGCACAACACATTCTTCCACAGGAACTGTCCAACCAGCAGCAGAGATCGTCTACTGATGGATGGAGTGGTGGAGATCGCCTGGTACTGCCCGTCAGGGAAAAGCACTGATCATTTCACTGACTGTGTTGCGTTCTGTAATCTGCATGGTGATTCCAGCACAAATGTGACTCAAAGAAAGATTCTCACTGAAATGGCCTCAGTAAATGTAGTACTTTTACCTAATCTCAATGAGAATGACAACAATATGGTAATCGTACAGGATCTTTGCAAGTCCTCAACTCCTCTCATTGTGGTTCTTACTGATGAAGACGATGATAATGAAGATGCTGTGTGTGAGATAGGGGCAAGAAAATACAGAGTCCGAATGAAGGGCAGAAATCAGTCTAATGTTTCTATTGCACTTAGAGGAGTTATCAGGAACTGCCTGTTAGAATTGCCTGTGACATTCAGAGTAGAGAAGATGGCAGAATACAGAGAGGTGAGGCTGGATGAGCTCAATGAAGCCTGTCAGAGAGGAGAGAAAGCTGCACAACAGATACAGAGGTTCCTGAAGAGTGAAAATCCATCCACAGTAAAAGAAAGATATCTTCCTTGCCAGGGAAAGCTGTGGCAAGACTGGTGTCAAAAGAACAAAGACTTACGACGGCTTCAAAGTACCAACATAGAAGTAGAGAAAAGTAAAAAGCAACAAGAAATGCGGGCAATAAGACAGAAACAGCAGATATATGGTTTCAGTGAACTCATGAGGTTATTTGTTGGAAGTTTAAGGTCACTGTCAGGCATTCAAGAAATGTATTTTCTCAAGTGGACTGCAGTCCTGCTGGACAATTTCACTTCAGACAAACTCTCCACCATCCATCAAGAGTATGACCGAAAATGGGCAGAAGTGTTGGCATTAAAGAAAAAGCAAAGCAAATTTGAGGAACAAAAAATAAAACAAAAGAACCTTGAAGAAAACTCAGTCAAACTGACTAATGATCTCTCGAATAATTTGTCTTTAGAACATGCCAAAATAGACAAACTAAAAGCTGAACAATTAAACCTAGAAAAGATCTCAAATGAGCTTAATGCTGCCACTTTTGGTTTAGAGCACATACTGAGAGAAATGGGGCAGATTTATGAAGCTTCATTCTCTGAGAAAAGGTGGATTAGAAGAAACGAGGTTGGGAACCTTCATTACCTGCCTGGACTTGCTGCTGAACTCATGATATCTGGCCATCCAATGGAGCTGATGGATGGTGATGCAGCTCATGTTCCTCTGGTCTGGGTATCAGCAGTTCTAGATGAGCTTATCAAGAAACTGGGAGATCAGAGAGTTTTTGTGTTGTCAGTTTTGGGGATTCAGAGCTCTGGGAAATCCACTATGCTGAATGCCATGTTTGGACTCCAATTTGCAGTCAGTGCTGGAAGGTGCACTAAAGGAGCCTTCATGCAGCTGGTCAAAGTGTCTGAGAAGATGAAGGAGGAATTGAAATTTGACTACATTCTTGTTGTTGATACCGAAGGTCTTCGAGCTTTAGAGCTGGCAGGAAAAGACATGATACATCATGATAACGAATTGTCAACATTTGTTGTAGGTCTTGGAAATATGACATTGATCAACGTGTTTGGAGAGAACCCAGCAGAGATGCAGGACATCCTTCAGATTGTTGTTCAGGCCTTCATGAGGATGAAGAAAGTCAGGCTGAATCCCAGCTGCATGTTTGTGCATCAGAATGTTACTGATATTGCAGCTGCAGAGAAAATCATGGAGGGAAGGAGACGTTTACAAGATAAACTGGATGAAATGACTAAGTTAGCTGCTGAAGAAGAAGCCTATGATGCAGAATGTTTCAGTGACGTCATTGCATTTGATATACAGAATGATGTGAAGTACTTTTCACAGCTCTGGGAGGGCAACCCACCCATGGCTCCACCAAACCCATGCTACAGTGAAAATGTTCAGGAGCTAAAAAGACAAATTGTTGCTCGTGCATCAAAGACAAATGGCATGAAATTGTCACAATTCCGAATGCGAGTGAACGACCTGTGGAATGCACTGCTGAATGAAAACTTTGTTTTTAGTTTCAAGAATGCACACGAGATATCAGTGTACAGGAAGCTGGAGGAGGAGTATGAGAAATGGACCTGGAGTCTCAGGAGTGCCATGCTGAGCATTGAAGACAAAATGCTCAACAGAATAACCAGTGGAAAAGTGGAAAGAATTGAAAAGCAAGAGCTCATGAAAGAGATGGCAGGAACCTTAGATGATGTCCAAAAAGCATTTAAAGTCTACTTTGAAGAAAACAGTGAAAAGGAAACACTGATTCAGTGGGCATGCAAATTTGAAAAGCAAATTCTACACCTCCATGATGACCTTGTAAATGAGGCAAAAAGAAAACTGGATGACAACATTCAACAGAAAAACATTCGAAAAAAGCTGGACCAGCAACTGATACACTATGAAAAGACACTATTTGAAAAGAGCAAAGAGTTTGCATTGAAGCTTAAAGAAAACGGCACTAAAAATAGAGATCCAAAGGCAGAATTTGATTCAGTGTGGGGAAAGTGGGTCTCTGAATTGACTGAAAATGCTCCAAAAATCAAAGATGCTAACATACCAGAAGACGTGAATGAAATTCTAGCAGAGCTTTATGGATATGGGCTTGTTGTTTGTCGAAAAGGATCTCACAACTACAGAAGGATTTGCACTGCTGGAGATTACCAAGATTACGTCTCTATGAAAAAGAGCATGCTCAAATTTAAGGAAAAGTGTCTTAAACCAGAGGACCAACAGTCAATACAAGAGCTAATTTCTAAGGTCATTGAACAAACAAAAGATAAAATGCATTCATTTCCAGTCTCAGTGCAGGGATACAATGTAATCTACATCCAAGACGTTGCACGTGATGTAAGAAAACTAGTGCAGGGCTTTAAATCTACAGGTGATTCCTTTAACTTTAAGAAAGAGTTCTTTGTAGATCTCTCCCTTTATGTGTGTGAGCAGGCAGAAATTCGCTTTGCAGAACTTCACAGTAAATTCAAGGAAGTAAATGATCCATTTATTTACTTTGAAAAAAAAAGGTCTGAGTACTTTAAAGTCTTTCAAAACTACTGTGAGGGAGCAACATTAGCAGCTGTGCTTGGAGCCCAAATTTGTAACAGACTAAAAGGGCCAATCATACAAAGTGTGTATAACATGGTCGCTACCTTAATTTGTGGACAAATGAGAGGGAAGCCACCATTTAATGGGAACAGAGGTGATCTTGAAAAGCACATTCTGAAGTCACTGGCAGAGCAGGACGGGGATAAGAGTAAGAGGTTTGATAACTTCTTGACATATATGTATCATCCTAAGTCCCACTTTGAAAATTTCATCAAAGACCAAGTTAGAAAGTACATGGCAGCAGAAGACCCTCAAGCAGTTTCTGCAATCAAAGATCACATTGAACACAAACAGAAAACTGTAATAAGTATGGCAGAAATGGCAAGAGACAAAGTCAAACCCTTCAAAGGAGACATAAAAATGTGGCTGGATTTTTTTTCCAACAGCCTTGTAGATGAGTTAGGAGACACTAGAGTTCACTTAAGTGGCGATGATTCTAAAGATGTCACCGACTGTGATGTTCTTGTGGATTTTATGAAGATAGAGTTCTTAATTGTCATTGAAGAGCTAAAAGGAAGCCTCAGTAAGCTTTCAGACTTAAAAGTGAAGATGTTCAGAGAAAAGCCTGATGAGATTCTGATCAAACACTTCTGCAGGTGCTGCTGGGTGCAGTGCCCCTTCTGTGGAGCTGTCTGTACTAACAGTCAGGAAAAGCACAGTGGAGATCACAATGCCGATTTCCATCGCTCATCTGGGATGCGTGGATGGCATCCTAGAGGTACAACACAATTGTCTGTAGACTTTTGCACAACAAAAGTAGCCAGTAACAGGTCGTTTTACCCATCCCATGACTCTGACATTTCTGTCCCTTACAAGCAGTACAGGACAGCAGGAGGAAAGTTTGCTAAATGGTGCATCTCCGCTGATTTTTCTGAACTGACGTACTGGAAATGGTTTGTTTGTGAATTCCAGAAAAACCTTGAAAAGCACTTCAAGAAAACCTTCAGTGGCCGGCGGGGGGAGATTCCTGGTGAATGGAGAGAATTTACTCAAATTGATGCTGTTGAAAGCTTAGGAATAAATGGCTAAATTACAAAAATTCTATGATTTACAAAAACACACAAATATGTTTCCAGGCAAATGATGACAATCCCTGGGATCTCCTTGGAGGAACAAAATCCAACCATATTTATACTGAACAGTAGTTCAGAAGTTGCATTATGGACACACTATATCAATCTATCTCTCCATACTGAAGAGGAAGCCAAAGAACACTTTCACAAGAAAACCATTTAAACACTGTTTTCTAATGGCCATTTTTATTTCAATTTCTGTTTTTTTTTTTCTTATAGATGTTGGTGATTTTTTTGGTTTAAAGATTTCATATTAAGAATATACAAATGTTTCTTATTTATAGAGATATGTATTCATAATACTTGTAAAGTACTCACACATGTATAAATGATTAATCTATTTTTGTCAGATCATTTTATAACACTTTATTCAAGGCTCCTTAAGTACTAAATAGGTCAGCATTCTGTTGCCAGGCAAGTTTAAAGATTATTAATGTGTTTATAACACAACAATGTGTTCATAAGTATCACTGCTTCAATTTTTTAATAAACACTATAATCTGCCATTCAGTGAAAGAAGTGCTAACTGTTGTGAAAGCTGAATTTATTAGTAAAACTGGCTATTAAGGTGAAAATGATATTGCACAGCTCTTCATAATTACAGCATGAAATGTGTTGCATTGCAACCACCTGCATAGCATCCACTTTTTGAAGAGCACCGCTTAATTCCAGCACAATCATGTGCTATTATTCATCATCTTTAAACCAGTAGTTCTTCCACTATATTGTTGAAAAAAATCTTACATTTAGAATTTAGTTTTTCTATGTAGATGATGGAAAATCTGAGATAGGTTTTTAGGAATTCTAACGTAACTGAAGTTTTAACGAAACTTCATTCTACAGCTAGCTAGTGAAGAATCTAAGATTAGAAAACGCTGATAAGGTCAGCATTTCAGGCAATCAAAAAAAAAAAAAAATCAAAAGAAGAACCATCACCTAATCACAGCAAATCTCCAAACGTCTGCCAATTTAGGAAATCCATCTGCTGATTCATCTTTCCACAACACACAGCACATCCCTATAATGTAGATAATATAGAGAGAAGCATGCAAACCCTGTGTTAATTGATGAGATAAGATTGGAACTCATATGTACAGTTCTGATAAAGAAGCATGCATTGGAGGCTTTAATGTTTTAGAAAAACATATTTAAAATTCCACTGATACCTCAATAAATAAATATAATTTTTTTCAGTATTTAGTGTGTGCATCCTTTGCTTTTATTACATCATCCATCATTTTTTCCACTTGCTTTCAGTTTTTCAAAGAAGTCTGCAGGGATACTTTTTATGTGCTTCTTGTAAACACCTCCAAAGTTCAGTCCTAGAAATTGGTTGCATTTATTGTTTCTCATGATCCATTTACAAATGATACCTTTAGAATCATCAGTCCAAAAAACGTTACATCACATCTCAGATGTCCAATTTTAGGGCCAGATTTACTAAATGATTGTGTTGCTGTAATGTAATATTGTAAGCACAAAATGACTATAAAAGATTATAGATTTAAAGCTCCATACACGATGTGTCCTAATGTTCTCTACTATCTTGGGTATGATATTCACAACTCACAGAAGTGGAGAAATAATTTGTAATTAGGTTAAATAATTTAAAAAGCAATAATATTTAATATAAACCTTTTGTTTGTTGTTCCATTAAAATGCTGTAACAGCATGTGTAAAAACATATGGCAGCAGGTGAAGGTGAAATATAAAGAGAGGTCCAGAACGGTAATTGTAAATCTAGGTACTCTTTTTGTACAGAACAGGAATCAATATGTATAGAAACCAAATGAACATTACATTACATATTCCATTCAAACAAAAGGAAGGCTGCTGTTAATGCCTCTGGTGGGGTGTGGGGCTCTTGTAATCTCATCATTTCAGAAATATAATTTTAGACATCTTCAGATATTATTCTCCCCTCTGAACCTTTTTAAAGGCAATGGTAAGTGTCTTCTATGTCTTCCATTCCATCCTGATGTACAGAACAAAAAAACATTGGTGCCTCTGTGATGGTAGGGGCCCAAAATAGAGTAAAGCAAGGGACCTGGAATGATTTAAAATGCTGTTTTATAATATTGTAACATTTATTCTTTGTTGGGAATGAAGGGTGTAGCAAGAGTGATCTTTGAACTGCTGTAAATTTATGAACTTTGTTCACATAAGCAAGTTCTGACAGAGAGCACAGAAGGAGAAGCACCTGATACCTGTTCAAACACCTGGTCAAATGATTTAACATTTTAATCTGGATGTGGAAAAATCTCCAGTAAAATAGAGTCTGATATTTGTAAGTATTCAACAGTGCTGTTTGGCTGCTTATATGAGTTGACTACACTGTTCGTGTTTTAGTCTTGATGACTGAGCTATCACAGGTTTGCAGCTACAGACTATACAAGCTATACTAGGGTGTAATAACCTTGGTCTTAAGAATTCAGAACAATAAATTGTAATGTGGTGGTAAACAGCCATACGTATACTGAACAGAGTGGCTACAGGACAGCTGTACACTTTCCCTCTCTGAACCTCAGCCTGCCGGTTTTTTAACAGCACACACAAAGCAGCCAGCTGTTGTGGAGGGAGGGGATTCAGCTCACTGTAATAAAAATACAGCATTAACAAAGCTGTAAGGCTAGGCCCAATGTCCGGTCATCAGGTCATTTAATAAGTCAATGCTTCACTAACCAATCATCACACTGAACCCACTACTATTTATACTTCTACAGCAGCAGGTGGCAAAAATGATAAAAGTGAAACTAAACTTTGCCTCTATTTGCTGCACTTGGCCAGTATTACATGAATTAATGGTTCTTAAAGACAGCCAAATGTATTTTGTTTTGCCACACCTAATATGTCACTTTTCACAAGGTACCAATAAAAAAGAGGCCGGGTAAATTTTAATTGGAGAGCACCAACAGTAACACAAATTAATCACCACAATAATGCAGAATGATCACCACAATAACACCATCATTAACACAAAATAATCACCAGAATAACACCCCCAATAATGCAGAATAATCACCTCAGTCATTCCAACAATAATGCAGAATAATCACCACAATCATTCCAACAATTATGCAGAATAATCACCACAATCATTCCAACAATAATGCAGAATAATCACCACAACAACACCATCATTAACACAAAATAATCACCACAATAACAACCCCAATAATGCAGAATAATCACCTCAGTCGTTCCAACAATAATGCAGAATAATCACCACAATCATTCCAACAATAATGCAGAATAATCACCACAATCATTCCAACAATAATGCAGAATAATCACCACAATCACTCCAACAAAAATGCACAATAATCACCACAATCACTCGAACAGTAATGCAGAATAATCACCACAATAACACCCACAATAAATAAATTCTGAATAATATAACTGGTTTTAGTATTATCAGTTTAAACATTAGTGAGTATTACATTATTGGAAAACCACTAAAGCCTTTGGCCACATAGCACTGTACACGACTCTTGTTATGATTTAGCACTGCTGACCAAACTGGAATATATTTTGTCCTTTTTGAAACCCTCACAAGTTAAAGCATTTTTAAAAACTGTGATTAAACTAGACTTTAAGTTAAAAGCTGAACTGGAGGCAAAGAATGTGGAGTTAACTGTCACGCTTCCGGGTCCTCCTCCTCTGCCTAACACGCTCCAGGACTCCATTTCCCAGAATCCCAATCCTCATGACATCATCCCTTCCACCAATCACAGACCTCTGCCTCGTTCCCAGTCACCTGAAAACACACATGTACCCGTTTGCCTTAGACTTTAAAAGGTTCCTGGTTTGGTCTCCTCTTTGTGAGGTATTGCCACACTACTGGTTACTGAGTGGTTATCTTCTAGTTGCATGACCTGTGTACAGAACCCATTGCCTGTTTCTCGATTGTTTCCCTTTTGGATTTGCCCTTATTGTTCTGGTTGCCTGTGTTTTTGTGTTTTCTGGTTTTTGACTTCTGCCTGTTTTTGGATACTGTTTTTGGATTTGCCCTGACTCGGTTCTCTCATTAAACCAACTTTTGTTTTTAAGATCCACGAGCGTCTTTCTGTGCTTGTTCAGCGTAATATTAACACTGCTGATAGCACGGAGGGACATTCCACAGCTGACTGTAGAACAGGTTCTCTTGTTCTGTCAAACAATCAGAACATTATTGATGATAGAAAGAGAACATGCTAGAGGGAGGACAGTGGTATTGTAGATGTGTCATGTTGATATGTAATGTCTTTTACTCAGCAAGGCAGAATATCAATTCAGTAAACCTGAAACCAACTTTGTGGGCCAGCCCTGGATCCACCACTACGTAAGAGGTCTGAGAGTTAAGTGAGTTCCAGTGGTGGGGATGAGGAAGGACAGAGATTGGCATTCAAAAAGCCAGGGAGGCAGAGTGCTGAAAACTAGAAGTGGACATGGATGAAGGTGTGACAGACCAACAATTAAACATCTCCTTTGGTGTTCAGCTTTAAATTTGGAAGGAGCGAAGTGATCATTTGTTGAAATGTCTATGTAGTTCTATGTAGGTCCCTGGTCTAAAACTAAAGACCTCTCCAGTCTCCTTATCTACAAATTTCTAAACAAACAGAAACAAAATAAAAACACTTACCATCAAGGTATTTACAACGGAAACTGAAAAAAAGAATGGTTTGTGAAATTATTTCATTAATCATTCTAATTGACAAGCACAACAAAAACAACAACAATACTTTGAGTCATCACATATTTACATATGGGAAAACAATCTGATTAGAGAGCATGAGTATTTCTTATATTTAATATATGGACATAAACCCACACAACCAACACAACATGTCACAACCTAAGGATACTGAGACTCGGTACTTTCACCATTGCAGCATTTCCTTAATCCCAAAAAGAACCACAGTCTCACTAATTTTATCCTCAGTCAAAATATTGGTAACACGCTGATATGTTTTATAGTTTGACATAGATTTTGTAACTTCAGTTTATCTAATACAATTTCAAGTGGAATCAAACATTTTTTAATCAGCTGATCAGGATATAAAGAAAC